GGCTTGAATCATAGGCAAGGCAGAGAATATGAAAGTGTGTCTGACTTAGGCAGTACTGATGCTCCCACTTCATGTCAACACCCTTTAATGTGGAAGGGAGCAGATCTTAAGAGCTTGTTTTTTTGGGGCAGTTTTCTGAATCAAGCCCACAAGATGCTTCTGAGATCCCTCAGCTCCCATTGCCAGCCTTGGACATCAATGATGTCCCAAGACCCAAGTTTTCATAGGAAGCTTTGAGATTTCACTGAGTCTGAGATACTAAGTACATTTACTCTTCGATCCCTTTGACTTCAACTAGAGTTGTGAGTTATCAGCGTGCCCGAAAAAAGACCTTGATGTCTCAAGGTGAGCATAAAACCTGACTAGGTATTTTCACAAGACTTGGAGCCTCGTTCTTTTAAAAGTGTTTCCCAAACAGCAAATAAAGGCCTGGCTTTCTGTGTTCACATTGTCTCAGAGCTGGGCAGGGTAGACAAGAAGCAAAGCACGAAGCAGCTGGAGCACAGATCTCCCAAGGCATTTGCATCAGTAAGAAGAGATTGACTTTGTCCATGGCCTCTTTTTGTTATGGCTGTAGCATGGTTGTTTCCCAGTGGCAAAATTATGGGGCAGACAGGAGGCTCAGGCATCTGACATCGAAAGAGCAGCTGCTCCTTGGCCAGCCCAGTTGGTCACAGTTGGCAATCACCCCGTGTGCAGCTTTGCTATGTGAGGACACGGTGGGTCCATCCAGCACAGGTAGCAGCACTGGTCTAGCCAAGGCGCTGAAGGGACTCATATAAAAGGTATCTCTCCAACACAGTTGTCTTCATGATTTGTCCGAATCTCTGCACTCTGGAGAGTTGCTACCCATTTCTTATTCAGACAAAACTTTCCAAGAGATGTGTAGGAGTTTTGCCTAAGTGTAAGCTGTTGGAACAAGTTGTTGATTTGTTAAATCGATTTCTTTAAAACAGCGGCAAATTAGATTCCCCCTCAGTTGAAGTCCAGGTCACATACATATTAATTGGAATAGGGAAATAGAAAGAAAGAAATCCCTTTGTGGTGATGGAGTGCAAGGTATTTGATTCAGCATCATGCTTGATTGCGTTATTGTAATAGCATTTTACTATGTCTGGCTGGTTCTTTTCAGATACCTGCTTTCAGTCAGTTTAGATTAAGAAATTTACTTTAAAATTCTGAAACTGATGCTTTGTCTTTCTGTGGCACAGGTGATGTACTAAAACGATTAAGGTAATGTAAAAATACAAAAAGTTGAATAAAATGATTGAAAAGTGAGACATGTTTCCACTTTTCAGTAAGTCATGCCATCAACAGGTAAAACTGCTAGCTTTTGAAATGTAGTTTGGGAAGGTTTTTTTGTTTTTCTCCCCCAAAATTTACATCAAGTCATTGGAGAAACATCTTGATAGCAGTGGATAAAATCTAAGTCCTTAATTACACCTTTGATTTCTCCGGAATCAGAATTTCATTCAAGCGGCATTCACAAAGCTGTTATCTGTTAATGTACTTTGTGATTCAGACTAATTACATACACAAGTTACAAACCGTGATCTTCATTCTTTCCAACCAAGGGAGCATTTGCTTATAGTTATCGCTCTTAGGCTAATGAATCCTTACAGTGAAGAAGGGTCTGTCAAGCTGGCTGCTCATTGTCGCTTCTGTTTCCTCAGGAAAAGAGAGCAAATTCCTTCCCAAGAACCAGGAACTGCAGTACTTTTAACTGTTGAGCAACATATAGTATCCAGGATTTAAAAAGAAAGAAGCAATAGAAAGACAGCTGCTGCGTAAATGTAGGACAAAGGTAGCCGGTGATATCCCATTTAATCGAAGAAGAACTCTGATTCAGAGTTTTCTCTCCCATGGCCATGTAGTTCAAAAGTGAGGATTACCGTGGGATAGCTCAGTTTTTACAGCCTAATGTGCTATGTGTTGGGCAGCCCCAAATGTACTAGCTATCTTAAAAAATCTTGGCTGGTTCCTTGGATAATATGGCATATCTGAGTTAGTTTTCTATTCACTTAATAGGTAAAATTGACTCGTCATTTACAATACAGTAGCATCTAAAACAATGCGAAAGTTAATGAGATGATGGAACTGGGTTTGTAGGCAGGAATTACATGCTTGGAGGCCACATCATGCACAGCTTCCTTCCCCTTCCTCCATGCTCACATCAGTAAGGTGCAAGGCCTTAGAGTATCCAGGAACAGCCATCGAATTGAGAAATACTCAGTTTCTCAATACTGGCATGTAACATGATTATGGAAAAAATATATCCAAAGAAATACTGAAGAGTGAACATTTTCTCACATGGCTAAGTCAAGTTAAGTTAAAATACTTGCTGGAAAGTTGTCTTTGTCTGCTCTATTCAGTTTTTCTGAAAAGATTTGTTTAATGGCTCCATGCTTAGTCTTCATTTTTTTAAAAATGACATATACAAAAATATACTTTTTTTCTCTTTCCTTAGATATGGAAAGAGATCAAGCCCAGAGACACTGATCTCAGACCTTTTGTTGAGGGAAAGCACAGAAAATATTCCTAGATCCAGGTATGTATGAAGAAGTTTTGTGGTGGCTTTCACTTCTCATTTAGATTTAACAGTTTCATTTGTTATCAAGAAATATGTTTCACAGGGATAAAACGTATGCCACCAACATCTGGGTAAGCATGTCCTGAAAAAACATTTTGAATTCCTTTTTTGTTAAGAGCTAGCACCATCTATGAATGCAAGAAATGCCTTACCAGATATAACATAGTCCAAACTCCTCATTTCCTGATTTTGGGAGCAGGCCATACCTGCTGTTCGGAGGAAGGGAAGCATTCCCACAGCGCTTGCCCCTTACTGGGCTTTATTACACAGAATCGTACACTGATGCCTGAAGACAGATGAGAGCACCAAAAATGGCATATTTCTACTCATTTGCTACTCAAACAGGATTAAATTTTTCTTCTAAAGATGTATGAGTGGTAAATATGCACATACGTTAACTTAGACACAAATGCACGGCTATGACTGGTCTTTAAAATACAGTATTTCACATGGGTTTTGTACCTAATATTTTACAAAGGGAAAAAAGGCTTTTATATTTCCATTTGCACTTGGTTTAAAATAACAGTGGTGTTTCAAGCAACAGTGGGATTTCAAATGTACATACTGTATTTATCTAGATAGGTAATGACATTTTAGCTGTAATGTAAGATTCTGTAGTAGTGACTACAATTTACACAGCTAAAAGTAAGTATGTTGAAACAGTAAGACATGGGGGGGTTTTGTCTCATGAAAGAAAATATCGGTTTTAGTTTTGCTTACAATCAAGCACGAATGAGCTCAGTTTAAGCCTTTACTGATAGCCTGAAGTTTGCTGATAATACTTCTACTGCAGAAATAAATGTTTTATGCAGTAGTCATCTCAGGAGTCTACAAGCAAATGCTCTGCATTTTCATCAGCTGTGCAAAGGCTCAATTAGACTAGTTAAGTACTTAAGCAGAATAGCCTGTAGCTCTGAACTTAGCGCATGATCTTGTCACTGAAAGGTGACCAAAATTTCTGCTGCCATCAGGGGAGGTTGTCCATGAGACTTGCGGTTCTGCCATAGGGAGACCATTGACTTATGGTTTGATGACTAACCGCAGCTGTGGGGATGCAGTTTTCTCTGCAGATGCTTATGTAAAAAACTGCATGGAGTGCAGTGAAATGTATCAGACTATTTTGCGTTTGGTAATGACAAGGCAGAGCCCCCACATAATGGGAAATTTCCGCTGCCGTGAATTTGAGGCAACACACAGGGCAGTACGAAGTCTAATACTCTCTGTAATTTTCACCCCTTCATAACAAAACTTTATGGTTATTATTATTGTTTCAATAATGCTATTTATAACACACCAGGGAGCAAAAACTCATGAGCAAAGTAACAAACTAGTCTGCGTTTAAGATCAAGAATTGATGAGAAACAGATTTTTATTTCATACCCCCTGTAACAGCACTTTAAACTGAGTATGGTATTTGTCATTCATCGATGACAATTATGGGAGCACTGGGAACAATGATGTCTAGTTTCCTATGGATATGTTTTCTAGGATAAAACCCTCTATGGATTCTGAACCCTGCTCTAGCATTTTCCTCCATGTGAGGACATAACTAAATCTTCTTTCTACCCACTCCTGTGTTTCATGGCACATCAGGAACTTAATATCTCTGAGATATCTGTACCTCCCTCTGACTTGGTTGAAATTGTCCAGGGGGTTTGAAAGCTGGTGGGGAAGTTAGGGGCGGACAGCTGGACACACAGCAAATATGCCCAGGTACAACACAGCTGCCTAAGTCTTCCTCCTAGAGGAAGCCAGGGTGAAAAAAAGGAAAGGCAGGCTGGTACTATTCTGAAGTTAAATTAATGAAATATATGTTTTAGAAATAGTTATATATGCAGCCAGTTATGGAGCAGATGTCATTTGCACTCAGTGAATCAGTGAGAGAGGGGCACACTTCATGAGTTCTCGGGACCGAACTTTGTAACTAAACATTGAGGTATTAATAAACAGCTTAACTGTATTCAGCTTGGCTGGCCTGGTTTGACATTTCACTTTTGCTGACTAATATATGCCCCAAAGTATTTTGCAGTCTAGGTGTATGTCTGACCATATGAAGAAAGTTTAGAGAGATTCTTACAGAAACCAGTTAAAATATAGGAAGTTAAGGAATAAAAAAAGAAGGCACCTTGACCTGAGTACAAATAAGTTCTTATGACAAAAACATGTGATGTGGCGTGTTTCTGATCTTGTCAAGCCTGTGGAGTCATGAGAAAACCTTTACAACTCAATAACAGGATGCGTCTCCCCTACTACTGCCTCTTTAAAAGTTAGGTATCTAGTGTGAAGTAGTTGTCTAGGCTGCCTTTGCAGTCAGTCGGATGGATGGGTATCTCCAAAATGAGCCTTCCATCTGAAAATGGGCAGGATCAATTGTCCTCTCAAGGTGTCAGTGTCTCCCCAGTGACTGTGAAGGAAAACTAGATGCCCAACTTTTAGATGGCAAAAATTACGGCAAATGCATTCCCTCTAGTCTCTCTCCATGTTTTCCAATTGTTGACTTACTTGCTGTGTAGACAGAACAGCTATTGGCAAGCAGAGGAACTCTAGATCAAATCCTGCCCTCAGCACCCCTTTCAACATGTATTTCAAATGTTTGATATTGAGCAGTGGAATACCACAATAATATTTTAGGATGGTGGCTGTGGACTTCGGTTTTGTTTGAAGGTGCTAACAGCAGGACGTGGGTTTTTTGTTGGTTTTTTTTTTGGCTCAGTGAATTCTCTTTGGAAACTGTTTACTCCCGAGTAAGAGCAAAAAAATATCTCTGTATTTCAACATGTCATAGTTTTCTAGCTGTATTTCATGAAGTGCTTCTTAATGGCATAAAGCAGCTTTGCAGTGAGTCTCAGTGGTGTAAAACCACGCCATCTGGGCAGCAGTATGGAGGGGTAAGTTCTGGTACCAAAGTATAGACGTTTGGCCAACCAGGAAGCCTCTACTTTGATGGCAGTTGCATATACAATCTTCGACTGCAAATATGCATATGTATTCCTTATTGCTGCTATTATTAAAATGAAAAATTTAGGTAGTTCTAACTTTGGATTTTTCAGAAGGGGCTTTAAAATGTGTTTAATGGGTTTTTTTATTCATAATATGTATTGCAGGTTTGAAGACCCTTCGATGTGGTGATGGAATTTTCAGCACACCATCAAAACTTTTCCTAGTTTTCAGTTCGTACTCCACACCTCTGAAGCAAATCATAGCGTCATTCCCAGTGCATGCAGCCATTGTACTGAATTCTGTAGAGTTTTTCCTTCATCATATTTGTATATACCTTTATTTAAATAAATTATTTGTGCATTCCAAAATACAACATACTAAATGAAAACAAGCAACCCTGTCATTGGTATAGCAAAGAGTTGTTTTAAACTATTAAAACTTAATTATAACCTCCCTGCAGTCTGAAGTAGTATGGACAACAATAGTGTCACAGTTATTACAGTAATTAGTGTGCAAAGTAAGATAAAGACATCATTTATTGCAGCCTCAAACTCAGCTCAGCTGCTTGATTTATACAAACCTGTTTAAAATAATTTATCGCAGACTACATAATTTAGAAAAATAGTGTTCTGGGAGGTGATTTTTCAGAATCACCATACTAAAAACTTACTTAGTACTTACATTGACAAATGTATTAAAATGAACAGCATTTTCAAAATACAAAGGAATAAATCACTGCTCAATTCTGCTAACTCCTCAAAACTGGTTTGAAGCTTGGCTGTAAGCCTGAATTAGGAATTTTAAATGAAACAGATGTAAGATCTTTGTTTTGGCAATATGCAAAGCAGCAGAAAACAATATCTAAAGTTACTCATAAAACAGGACAAATCTACAGCTATTTGTGCCAGAAAACAGACGTTTAACATTGCCTAAGGGCTTGCAAAGGAGCACACTGATAAATCACAACCCTTTGGGTACCTGCACTCTGAGCCTGTCTCATTTGGAGTCATTCATGGTTTCTGTTTCCCCCACGAGAAGGTACCTGGAACAGGGACGAGGGGAACCGTCTTCATTTTTTAATTTTCGGGGTTTTTTTAATTTTATGAATTTCATCACTAGCCTAATGAGGAACTTAGACACAAGGACCTCTGAAGAAACCCTCAAAGTTTTTATTCAAAGTAACATAACATAATGGCAGCACATTACCCTTGTTCTTAAGTGTATAAGTTTGTTCACTTATACTAAGTGTATAAGTTAGTTCACAGATATGTATCTTGCAGTATGGTCAGGAGCCACACTGGGCATGACACAAATGCTGGTCCTTGGTTCCTGATATTTAGGCAGAACTACTTTTATTTAGATACCGTAACTAAACACTCACTGAGCAATAAAGCACATAAAAAGTTCCAAATAGGAGAAGAATCGGTGTGAAGGTTTAATGTATTTACATCTCATTCCCGCTTTTCAAAGGTTTCCGCGTGGCTCTTGTCCCCAGGGGAGATGCATCAGTGCAAGCAAGTTCCAGATTTCTATAAATGCACGCTGCGTGCGTTCGCAAAATGTTACCAGGTTCCCAGGACATGCTAGCTTTTGTGGTCACACTTTCTTCAGTAAAGCATAACATATTTTTCCTTTTCATAAAACACTTCGGTGTCATTGGAATGGGCAAATTTTGCTTTCAGCAGCAATACTTTCACTTACAGGCTTGGTGATGGGTTCTACAGTGCTACACATGAAATTGTGAGGATTAAGAGCAATCTAGTATTACAAAAGTGTTTGGGGCCCCCAGTGTAAACCATTGCCATCCAAGGCGTTAAATGACGATGTTCAGAGGCACCCCAGGATGGCCACAGCTTGCTGGGTTAGAGTCCATCAACTGCAGTCCAGGACCTGCTGGGTTAGAGACCACATAAAGTTCTGCTTTGAATAATTATTAAAATGAAAATTGGAAATTAGTGAGGTATCTGCTATATAATATCTCTAATTCCTGGTAATGCCTGCATCTACATATATAAATGACCACGTAAATGATAAAATCAGCAGATGATAAACTAAACTCATGTTGCTTAGCACTATCATTACAAATGTGCCTTAGTGGAGAAAGAAAGAGTTAAAGGAGAATTAGTGCATGCTAATTGCTCATGCTGAGCTGTTCCACTCAATTACCTGAGTTTTCTTGAACTTCAGGAACACCCATCTGTATAGAAAAGCTAGAAAAATCTAAAAAATGCCAGGTTTATTACCTCAGGAGCTGTCAAAGACAGAAGCAAGGCAAAGCGCTCACACAATATTTATTCATACGGTGCTATGATTTTCTTTCTAAAATCTTCCTGTGTTCTCTGTGGCAGACACAACATTGCCATAGAAGTCCAGTGTGCTTAGCGCTTACCTTCCTTGTGTATGTCATACACCACTCTTGACAGGCCAGGACATTGAAAATATTGGATCAGTGCTCCAAATTGCAGGATAGACTTAAAAAATGAGCTGTGAAATGAAGATAAACGCTGGATTTGTTTGGCAAGGCTTCTGCATTTTGACTTTAGGGTTAATCTTTTTATCTTTTTCTCTCTAACCAGAGCGCCTTGTTTCTAAAACAAAGGCTGAAATTTATGGCAGAATCTGAGGAAGCGCCAGGAAAAACAAGAAGTGAGAACCATAAAAGTAGGCAATAGTATTTTCTCCTGTGTTTATTGTGGGTTTGAAATCATGAGGAATGTACATAGATAGGTGTAAAACATTTAAAAGGCAGTCCACCCTTACCTTTGGCAATTTCGGTAATATACATCTCAGTTATGACCAACTTTGCTTTAACTAAAGAGGGGATCTAGATAATCCCATGTATCTTCTCTTCTAGGAGAGGAAATTCTCTCTACCCTTTTCTCTCTCCATCCCTAGAAACCCAGCCCGTTGCAATGCTTTCAGCTCTGAAATTCTTCTGTGCCAAAAGACACAAATTCCCCAGTCCTCCTCTGATGGGTATTTCCCTTCTCCCTGGCCATGGAGTGAAACATTGTCCCTGTAACTGGTGTTGGACCAAATTGGGATGGCGTGGGTGCCCCCTGCCCTCCCGCTGGCCAGCTGCTGTCCCCCTTCCCTGGTGAAGGGGAAAGAGCCGCCTGTCAAGCTAAATTTTCCTCACTTGTCATCCGAGAGGTGGAAACCCCACTCTGGTGGCATGAACAGCCTTCTGCAGGCAGGGCTGCTTTGCTCTGCCAGACCGTCCCGGACATGGGGGATCACGACTGATCAGGGAGGAGGAGACATCCCCACTGCAGCCTCCACCATCACCTGCTGGAAGATGTGGGGAAGCAGGGAGGTGCCAGTGGCGTAGAACTGGAGAGGATGTGGGCACAACGGATTCGGGGGGTAGCGGCCTGTGCTTGTGACATTACGGTGGCAGCCAAGGTAGGAGTGATCTTGATAGATGTCCTGGCCCCAAAGCAGGCCCTAGACATAGCAGCACTGGTTGCCCCAGGCAGGCAGCTGCTTTTCGGCACGGGGATGAGGAGGGCAGCAGGGGACCCACTGCAGAGCCCCAGTGCTCCCTCATGGTGCCCCAGGGTGGGCAGCGCTGCCAAAAACCTTCGCATTGTGTTGGGGTGAGGTGGGATTTACCTGGTAGCTAGCAAATAAATACCAAGTTTCAGCTGCAGCATCAAATGTTTTCCACAGTGGTTTGCACCATCTTCCCATGCTCTGCTGGCCCCTCACCCTGGTACTTAGAGTGAGGTGCCCAGCAGCACTCAGCACTTGTGGGAGGGGGATTTTTAAGCTGAACTGACTTTAAGCTCTGTGTTTCCTATGGGATTGCACCTGATCTTGCACGGCCACACGACCTTCAGGAGCACCAATGTAAATCCAATACAGGATCTTTTTTCCCCTTCTCACCCTTGTGTTATCACCTGATGACCATTAGCCACTAAAAGTCAACAAACATTTTAAAACAAAATTGAGCAGAAGATAGGCCATAATTTGTTGTGACAGAGTCTCTATTTGTCTTGTGAAATTTTCCTGTGGAAAGCTGAGGTCAGAAGATGAGAAACAGCAGAATACCAGGAATGAGCAGTCGTGGCTTCGTAACGCAAAAGTCGAGGGGAGAACATGCCTCCTTTACATTTCAGAACCAAGATATTGTAAGATGTGCGCGCTCTTCACTTTCCTTTGTACACATGCTTTACAGCACCCCCTCCCTTTCTCCCAGAAAACCCTTTGGGTTAAAAAAACACAAACAAAAAGCCTAGTAAGAATAAATTCCTTTCCGAAAGGCTTTCATTTTTCAAGTGTTAGGAAAAATCTTATTAGGAAATATTTCCTAGAACATCTTGTCTTTCATTAATTTGTGTTTTCTCTTGAAATCAAAAGCATTACAGGTTTTGATCAATTTCAAGGTTCAGTTCAGAATATTCTTCTCTAAATGATAACTGAGAGGAAAAGATGCCATTGTCTTCCTTCCCACTCTGCACAACTCAACTGTTTCACGAACTTAGAATAACTGTTGCTGGACGTTGATAGTATTCTAGTGATATTCAGCAAGGCATTTAAGTGAATATTTTCTAAAATTAAACCCAAATCTAATTTTACAGTTACTTTTTTTTTTTTTGGTCAAAGAGTCCAAATCTGTCTTGAGATCTGCACAGTGTGTGTCTAGGAATAAGAAAAGGTAAAGCTTCTCCTGGCACTGCCTCCATTCGTAGATACACAGCTCTGAGAAACACCTTTCATGGGTGTGAAAGTGTAGCCCGTAAAGGAGATACGATTTGGCAAAAAGCAAGTGGTTTATATCAATCCCCATGCTGCCATCTAAACCAGACGGATCTCAAAAGCAAACCAAAGCCACGGCAGCTGTACAGTAGCTGGGGTGTCTTGTGTGTGAACCAAATAGGTGGATTCGGACCAAAGAAAAAGAGTTTCCATATGGATTTCAGGGAAGTCAGAAAACTAAATGCAAAAATCTATCACTTAGGGACAGCTTATGAGCCTGGGTTACTTCTCAAGTGCCCCAGGGTTATAAATCGGTGTCTGGCTTCTAGGCAATAATTCACAAAATCTGGATTATCACATCACAATTTGAAATTTTGTCAGATCTGGCTGTTTAATTTTAATATTTAATAATGGTTTCCTGTTGAAAATTATCAAAGAGTAATTTAGCACACAGAGTAATGAAAATTTAAAAAAAACTCTCGCTTTGTTTTGGTGGGTTAGTACCCTCAGTGAGAAATTGCTACTGAGCGGAAATTGCCTAACTAATGCAGTAGTTCATATCAGGCCAGTGTATTTTATTTATCCGGCTGTATTGTTATCCGTCATTTATTTATCATCTGTATTACAGCAGCACCTGGAGACTCCAGATATGGGGCTCATTGTGCTCCAGTCTGTAGGACCGTAGTAAAAAAATAAGCCTAGACTAGAGAGGTATTCCATCCACATGCGAAGAAAGAAAGTGGGAGGAAACTCGG